CTTCCCCATCCTCTTGTGGTGCCCTGCACTATTTCTTTGGCAAGCCCTTGTTTCCTTGTTACAAGGCCGTATCATTGTAGTTTGCGTTTTTTTATAGTCACCAGTAGGTTATCGTACTCCCCAATTGCCTGACGAACCCTTTCTTTCACTGTATCATTGGAGATATGGTCCCTATAGAAGATGCCAAAATGCTTCTGAAGCATTTCATCTCCATCGCCTTTATTTTCCTTTCAAGATTAGCTGTTAATGTCCAGGATTCGCAAGCATACAGGAAAATTGAGAGGACTAGTGAGCGCAACAGCCTGATTTTGATGCTGGGGGCTATATTTTTGTCATTCCATATTTTTTAAGCCTCCTTAGTGCTGTTGTAGTCTGCGCAATTCTGGACATCAGTTCGAGCTTGGAGCCTTCTTCTGAGACTATTGCTCCTAGGTATTTGAAGCTGCCGACAGTCTCTAGTCTTTCCTCCCCACCCTTAATTTCAGTGGTGATGCCTGCGGTGTTATTTGTCATCAGTTTTGTCTTTTCGTCACTGATTAGCATGCCGTAGGACAACGAGGTCTTATCGAGACCCTTTACCAGGTTGGCTATCTCTTCTTCGGTCCCAGCCAGTCGGTCTATGTCATCCGCAAAGCGTAGGTTTGTGATTGTTCTGCCACCAAGGCTGACTGTCCCTTCATGCGCTTCCAGAGCATCTGACAGTATTCTCTCTAGGAAGATGTTGAACAGGGTAGGGGAGAGCAGACAGCCTTGTCGTACTCCAACCGTGGTCTTGAACAATTCTCCGATGTTGTTGTTTGAGGAAGACTGCACTGGTGGCCTTATAGAGGCTGTATATCATTCTGGTTAGGTTTGTGTTGATGTTGTAGTGCCTCATGGTGACCCATAAAGCAGCATGCCAAACCCTGTCGAATGCTTTCTTGAATTCCACAAAGATGTAGTATAGGTTGTGTTGGTGTTGAGCATAATTCTCACATAGTATTCGGAGGTTTAGAATCTGCTCAGTAGTGCCCCGTCCTTGTCTGAAGCAAGCCTGTTCTTCAGCGATGATTCTATCAGCATATGGTTTTTGTCGGTTCAATATGACCTTCAACATGACCTTGCTTGGATGGCTTATTAGGCTAATGGGGCGATATTTTTCGCATAGCCGTAGGTTGCCTTTTTGGGGGAGGGTGATGATGAGCGATTGGGTCCATGGTTTGGGCCATTCACCAACTCGGCAGGGATATTATCCACTCCCGCGGCCTTTACTGTTTGGAATGCTTGGACTGCTGCTAGTACTTCTGCGCGGAGAATAGGGTAGTTATCATTGTCTGTTGCTGGAGGGTCATTATGGATCTCTGGTTCTATCTACATACTTTCATTATACAGCTCTGAACAGTATTGAGTCCATCGTTTTATGATATCCTGTTCCTCATTTGTTAGTTCACTGTGGAGGAAATCCTGCACCTGGCGCGAAGCCGGAAAATGGTGCCAAATAATATTTAGAAAAAATGCCCCCGGGGCGGATCAGTCAAAAAGACGATTTTTGCGCCCCCCCCCCCGCGTCTTTCTGAAGTATTTGGGATTTGATATTTTAATTCACTATTAAGATCCTATCTAAAAAAAAAAGATTTTGGCGCCCGCAGTGATTGCCCTCTTCGCCCCTTTCTCGTGGCTCTTTCGAGAGCAATATGGCACCCAGAGCGACGCATATTTTGGGGACCACTGAGCTGGTCAAACTGTCGGCCGTATAAACCCGCGACACAGTTTTCTTTAAATTCCAATGACGTCACAATGGTCTTTTAAATTATTTGATTTATTATGTTGTTGTATGTGGGTGGGGGCTAAAAGCCTCTAGTACGTACGAGTTTCGGGGTGTCCAAAAATGTAACAAACCCCCCCCCCCGTCGTTATAAACCCGGTTGCTGTGAACCTTTGTGTACAGACTTGGCATCCCGAAAGTCTGGTCAGCTTATGGTATATGGTTGGGGAAAGTCTGGTCAGCTTATGGTATATGGTTGGGGAAAGTCTGGTCAGCTTATGGTATATGGTTGGGGAAAGTCTGGTCAGCTTATGGTATATGGTTGGGGAAAGTCTGGTCAGCTTATGGTATATGGTTGGGGAAAGTCTGGTCAGCTTATGGTATATGGTTGGGGAAAGTCTGGTCAGCTTATGGTATATGGTTGGGGAAAGTCTGGTCAGCTTATGGTATATGGTTGGGGAAAGTCTGAACAAATGTCACATTATGGAGGGTTTATATTGGCGGGTTCCAGGAAGCCAAAAATAAATTTTGATGAAACTAAAATTAGTTTTTCTGTTATTGCGAAAATTCTTAATTTCAATTAGCGACTTGTGTCATCAATGCATGTCGCAATAATTTCATTTGATTGGCTCGTTTACGACACGAACGTGATGAAACTCTTGTTATTGGGATAAAATGAAGCAGTGGCGTGGATGAACTAAATACGATTTAATGAGGACATAGTGATTGGAGGCGATGAGAAACTGTAAATGAGGACATATTGATTGGGGACAAGGAATTACTGTTAATGATTACATATTGATCAGAGTAGATGAATTTGTCCAGATGTAGGCAGCATGTAGAACAGACCAGCTACTCGACTGTTCAGTTAGGTCAGCCAGCAGATCAAACCGCTATTCAGCTGTCCAGTTATGAAGATCCAGTATATCAAACCGGCTCTTCAACTGTCCATTTGTAAACAGCCAGTAGATCTAACCGGCAATTCAACTGTCCATTTGTAAACAGCCAGTAGATCTAACCGGCGATTCAATTGTCCAGTTGTAAACAGCCAGTAAATAAAACCAACCATTACTGTCCAGTTGTAAACAGCCAGTAGATCAAACCATTCATTTAACTGTCCAATCGTGAATAGCCTGTAGATCAAACCAGCTATTCAACTGTACAGTTGTAGACAGCCAGTAGATCAAACCAACCATTCAACTGTCCAGTTGTAAACAGCCAGTAGATCAAACCGGCTATTGAACTGTACAGTTGTAGACAGCCAGTAGATCAAACCAACCATTCAACTGTCCAGTTGTAAACAGCCAGTAGATCAAACCAGCTCTTGAACTGTCCACTTTTAGACAGCCAGTAAATCAAACCAAGCATTCAACTGTCGAGTTGTAAACAGCCAGTAGATCAAACCAGCTATTCAACTGTCCAGTTGTAGACAGCCAGTTCCGCTGTCCAGTTGTGAAATGCCAGCCCAGCCAATTTGAACTAAGTCACGTTTCTTTTCACTTGTTATCCAAAATCTTATCGGCATTTAAGGAGCTACACGACCGACAGTTATTCTGACACACATCAAAGTCATTCTGACACATACCACATTTATTCTGACACATCTCACAGTCATTCTGACACACACCATTCACTCGGACACACCTCGCAGTCATTCTGATACATCTGACAGTCATTCTGTTTCTGTCGATAAGATGAATGTATTTTTTATCTAACGCCTTGCTTTAGATCAATTTTTAAAAAAATATCCCGCAAAAACTTTCTTGACAGAAAACAATTTGGGAAATGCAATTAAACAAAGTTCATTATTTTTAAATTAATAAAATCATATTATCTTTTATTATCTAATCTCTTCTATCTTTTTTAAAAATCTTAAATGAAAGAAAAGAAGCAATAAACATTTTTAAAAACAAAGTTTTAAATGAGTTTTGTGCAAATTGTTCTTGGTTACAATATATTTTAATCCCACAAGCCAGCTCACTAATTTGTGTTCTTTTATTACCGGTACTTAGTGAGGAAAGATAATTTATCATTTTAATATATGAATTTCACTAGTAGGGTTTGGGGAAAAAAGGGTGGGCGCTGGAGGTATCGGGGGTTAGTTTTTGTCATTTTGATCATTTTTAAAAATAAATTACAAATTAAATACTTAATATTACCCCACACAAGGAAGAGACTAGCATTTTTACACTTAGATTACCCCACACAAGGAAGAGACTAGCATTTTTACACTTAGATTACCCCACACAAGGAAGAGACTAGCATTTTTACACTTAGATTACCCCACACAAGGAAGAGACTAGCATTTTTACAATTAGATTTTGTGGACACGTTTTCAAAATTTTTATGGAAGAGTTAGGGAAATAGTATTAAGACGACTTCTACAAAAATAGAACGCCTTAACGGGTATGTTTGGATCTTTAACGGACAAGTTAAACGCCATTCATGGTCCTGACACAATATGCCTTGATTGGGGAGCACCTTACTGACGAGATTTCAGTTTGATAGACGTGAATCAACGGACCAATCCGCTTTGAGCTGGAGTATGAGGTATTTGTGAAACTAACACGCGAATATAAAAAAAGCAACACTTATTCATGCGATGAAATCTCAGACCTAGCACTACTGTAACATTTTTATTGATTGCCTGCTGGATTAGTGATCAGCGCCTGTTTATCTGTGAATATATTAATTAGACTCTTGTTTAACTGCTGCACACATACATATGTAGATTCATCTGGCTTATAGGATTACTTACTAAGTGGAGAAGTTTTCCGATGCTCATATGTTTCATTTAGTTCGAGGTTTCTGCAACCATCGCTAGTCAAGATTGTATGATACTGTAAGGTTGAAAATGTATTTTATTTTAATGGTAAAATATTTTATAAACTCTGCAGTTCTTCCAGTGTTGTGATTATAATTTAAAAAAAAAAACCCAGTAAGTTTTACATTTTTGAACTTCTAATATAATTTAATTTTACATAAAAATTTAATGATATATTTGTAAGTTTGTTTTTATTTTTATTTTTTTAATTCAGATTAGCTCAATATACGTATCGCCATGAACCTGTCTTTAGCAATAGGAAATGGGATATTTGAGGTAATCAGTTACAACCTGAGCACCGTGGTCATGGCGACGTTAGACGGTCTCGCTTCCCCGGAAGTGGTCATGCCGAACACGACGACTTCCGACACGGAACCGGAAGAAGAAGAAATAATCGGGGTAAAACTGACAAGGCTAATCATGAAAATTCTCATGTTTGGGGTAACACCTGGCATCGCTGTTCTGGGAATTGTGGGCAACACCCTGAGTATCATGATTCTACTCAAACACGGTCTCCACAAGTGTTCGAACATCTTACTGGTCAGCCTGGCGGTCGCTGATATTGTTTTTCTTGTCGCTTACAACAGCATCCCCAAGATCATCTACGAGACGTCGTCTGTTCGGGGTTTCGACGGCTTCTCTGAACGCGACTCCATAATCCTGAACGTGTTTTACTCCATCTTCATGAGTTTGGACTTCTCCTCCAGCATGGTGTCCCTGACGATGCCAATGTTGATCACCCTTGAGAGATTGATCGTAATATTCTTCCCGTTAAGCGCCTTCCGTATCGTGACGCCCCGGAGCACATGGTGTGCAGTGATCATTGTCGTCGTGTACTCGCAGTGTCTCTTCGTGTATCCCATGGCTTGGTTTGATTTGAACTACCTGTGGGACAAAAGGTACAACAGGACCATAGGCTACAGAGATTTCTCCCCTTTACACACGAGGGACGCTGTGGCCGTGAGGGTCATCGAAGACATGTGCGTCTACTCAATCAGCGTGATCCCTCCTTCGTTTACGGTGGCCGGGTGCATCGTCATCTCGGTCAAGGTCAAACTTGTGTCGATCCAACGGAAAAAGATGACGTCAAAGGAAGTGTCCTCCAACAGAACCACGAAGATGCTGCTGGCAGTTTGTGCCGTCTACACAGTGACCTGCGCCATCTTGACCGTCCCCATCAACGTGCCGGTCATTTCATATGGTCCCTTTTCTGAGACACACCCTTCTAACATCGCAATCGTCATGTACCAGGTGATGAACATCTTTATCTGTATCAACAGTTCATGTAACTTTATCATCTACGTCGGACTCAACAAAAACTTTAGGAAAACGTATGCAGAGCTCTTCAACTCTAACAACGCCAGATCTGGCACCAACTCCTTAAGACGCGGTCTCACGGTCTCTAAAAATCTTGGAGAGGCATCTTCAGTAATGGAGTCACAAATAACTGTTAGCTCTGTGGCCTTCAGGGAGGATGACGATGATGATATGTAAATGCCAGGTACACAGATAACAGATTTTAAAAAAAAATAATTTTTTTTTGAAAATGGAAAGGTCATTATATGAAGATGGATCGAGACTGAACAACAGTTTATAACTGGCTCACTTTCCACTGTTTAAATATGTTTTTCTAAAGAATTTCATAAGGTTTCTACTGGCATTGCACGTAAGCAGGGTCTAGGGAATCTCATGATTAAACATATCACGTTTACTTTGTTGTTTTGCATTTCAAAGCTCCATTGCGTATTCCGATATGTCTAAGACAAATAAAATATAACAAACAGTGCTTTGTGTCTTTGTATTTATGAGGATTATCCGCACAATCACTCCTGTTACTTCAACATTTTTCTTACATTAAATGCCAATGGTAAGCATCTAACAATGCTGTAAAGAAGCAATGGTGACATAGTTCTATCATTATTCTAGTACCATAATAAAAACACATCCTCTTTAAAAAAAAAAAAAAAAACACAAAAAAACCAGTTAACCTCCCCTCCCCCCCCCCCTCCAACCCTCAAACGACTGCCAGGTTCAGTTCAGTTGTTTACAATGAAACCCGAAATCAAGTTCGGGAACCTATGACTCGCAAACCAGATGTGGCTCTATTGATGGCTGCATCTGGCTCGCAGACAAATTGTTCGATTATAAAAAAAGGTCGCATTAATGCTAAGATATATTCATTATTGATTAGCAACAATGTTATTAAATATAATTCAGAGACATAATTATTCTATTTTTAGTGTTGAAATTACACAAAATGCACACATTCACTTAATTTTTTAGTTTTAAACATAGTGTATGGCTCTCACAGAATTACTTTTCAAAATATGTGGTGTCCATGGCTCTCTCAGACGAAAAGGTTTCCGACCCCTGCCCTTAATGGTATTTTCTGTTTCATCAATTTTTAATATTTGTAACAGACCAAGTTGTCTGTAATTGTGCACATGACACTATTATGTCTAGGATGGCGTAGTAATTTGAGCATTGGGTTGTAATACCTCGTATTTCACGAGAAAAGAGGAGGAACTGTATTTTATAGCGTAAGTGAACTGCACGCTTTAGTTGAACGAGAGAGTACACCATTCCACTGACAAGTTATATTTTCTATCATGGGAATTATTGAGGTATTGTAGCATTGTGATTCAAATTGTGGAATGGAATAGAGTATAACTATGGAATTGTTGCAAGATATCCGTCTAGCAAGGCATATTATTTAATGTAGTTATAGAATGCAATAAAGTACTGTGTAAATTTATTCATGGACGTTGAATCCTTATTGTGTTATAGCACAGTCAAGTTGAGTTGAAGAGTGAGATAATTAATTGTATAATAAAATAGCATGTTTTACAATATTCATTAAGCTGAAACATCTTCAGTAGGACATTATGATTACTTACATTTTATGAATAAATGAATCACAGGAATGGTTAACATTTGGTACTTGGGGTCAAACTAAAATATTTCCCTCGTCTATTAAAGCAACTGTTCATGTTGTATGCATACGACAAGATACGTCGATCCCCATGGCATAATACTGAAATCACTTCTCATGATGTTAAAATTTTCGAACGTAGATGTTCATGATATCAGCATAAAGCTACGTCGCTCCGCGTGACGTATATTCTTCTACATTTTGGATTTCGGGGAGGGGGGGGTGGCCAGAGGCGTAGCTGGGGGGGGGGTGAGAATGAACATATGTCCCCGGGCGTCAGACTAGGGGGCTACCAAAAAGGGTTTGATCGTTTTAAGTTGATGAAGTAATGGGTTTCAAAAATGAAGCGTTGGGGGAGAGTGGGGGGGGGGGGG